GGCAGGAGTATGTGGTGGAGCAAACCAATGCCTCACGAGTCAGAAAGCAAAAAGAAAAATTGGTCTGACTAGCATCCCAGAACCTCCTCAGTGATGTACTCCCACTGGCTTATGGGCCTCCTCCTAGTCTCCATCTTCCTAAAGGTCCACAGCACCTCATGCTAGCAGTGCACCTTTACCGCATGGACCTTTGGGGGAGACTCATCCAAACCATAGCAGTAACTTTATGCTCCTGATTTGTGTTTTCCTAATGGCTGTAATGTTGAGCACCTGTTTATGTGCTTATTTGCATATCTGTAGAGAATGTCCATTCAAGTTCTTTGCCCATTTCCTAATGGAATGGTCTGTCTTTTGACTATTGAGTTCTAAAAATTCTCTGTAAATTCTTGGTGAAAGTCCTTTTTGCCTATGATTTGCAGTTTTTTCTGCCTTTTCATTTTCTTCATGGTATCCTTTGAAGCACAAAAGTTTTAATTTTTGTTAGTTTGTTTTTGGTACTGAGAATCGAACTCAGGGCCTCATGCTTGCCAGGTAGGCACTGTATTCCTGAACTACATCCCTGGCCCCAAAATTTTAAAATTTTAATGAAGTACAGTTTTACCTATTTTTTTCTTTCATTACTTATGGTTTTAGTATCATACCTAAGAAATCATTGTCTGACCCAATGAAAATTTAATCCTATGTATTTTTCTATAATTTAGCTCTTACATTTAACCTGTGATCCAATTTAAATTAAATATATATATATATAAATATGACCTAGGATTCCAGCTTTTTTGTTTTGCGTATGGATGTGCACCTGGCTAGCATCATTTGTTGAAGACTCTTTCCCCCATAAAATAATTAATTGATTACAAATATAAGGTTTCTTTCCCCTGAATGCTCAATTTTTATTCCATCAACTCTCTAAATAGCTATTACTGCACACTTTGAAATTAAGAAGTTTGAATCCTCTACCTCTGTTCTTTTTCAAAATTCTCTGGTATTGGGTCCCTTGTATATCCAAATAAGTTTAGCACCAACTTGGCAATTATTGCAAAAAAGGCAGCTAAGATTCTGAATGAGAATGCATGAAATCTTAGATCTGTTTGGGAAATATTGCCCTGTTAACAATATTAAGCTTTCTAATTCATGAATATGGAATATCTATTGATTTTAATCATCTTTAATTTTTCATCAGTACTCTTTAGTTTTCAATATGCAAATGTTTCACTTTTAAATTTATTCCTAAATATTGTATCTTTTTATCACTAGTGTTAAGGGAATTGTTTTCTTAATTTCATTTTCAGATTGTTCGCTACTATTATATAGATAACAATTTATTTTTGAGTATTGATCCTGGGATTGAAACCAGGACCTTTGCAATGAGTGCATCCACAGCTTTTTTTTTTTAAGGTTTTTATTTTGAGACTGGACTAAGTTAGTAAGTTGCCCAAACTGGACTTGAACTTGCCGTCTTCCTGCCTCAGCCTCCCAGAGTGCTGGGATTGCAGGCGTGTGCCCAGCTAGGTTTTCTTAGTTTTATGTAATGTTTTTTAATGTAAGACCTCACCCAGGAAGCCATATTGTATTTAGTGTGATGTCTCCTTGTGCTCCTTTGGGCTTTAGTAATTTCTCAGATTCCTTGTTTTTGACAACTGTGTTAGTTTTAAGGAGTATGGTGGTCAGATATTTTGCAGAATGTCCCTCACTTGGGATTTGTTGTGTTTTTTGTTACTAGACTGAGATTAGGATTTTTGAGAGGCAGACTAAAATGGTAAAATGCCATTATTATCACATGTCGAGGATACATACTATCATGTGATTTATTACTGTTGACATTGACCTTGATATCTGGCTGAGAATATTTTTGCAGGTTTCTCCGCTATAAAGTCATTCTGTCTTCCTCCTTTCCACACTGTACTTTTGGGAAGAAGCTTATTTAGAGGTGTGTAATTATCCTGCCCTTCCTTGAAAGTGGTTTATCTACATAAATTATTTGGTATTTTATGCACTGTCTACCCCATTTATTTGAGTCATTTATATCATTGTGGATTCATGAACATTTATTTTGTACTTTGAGTTATAATTTAATAGTACTTTATTTTCTGATAAATTATTCCAGCTTTGTCCATTGGGAGCTTATTGAATTACTTAATTACTAAGCTGTTGTTTAATGATATGACTTTTTAGTTTGTAAGATGAAGAGTTCTAGAGATCAGATGCATTGATATTAACTACTGAGCTATACACTTAAAATGGATGGGAAATTATAGGTATTTACAAAGAATTCTAGATTGAATCATTAGTTATCAAATCATAACTGAAATATAATCGTAAAAATTGGTAATTGTTAACCATCCAGAGTAAACATTTTGAAAATCCTACATTTAATGAAGTGTTCTAACTCTCTACAATGTAATTGTGTATTACAAACAAGTAGTGACAAATTTTAAAAATTAAAAAAAAAGTTTATTGCTAAAGGAGACAGGGACAACATCAGTTATTTGCTGTTTTTCATTGCTGCGGATGTCATTTCTGTGGATGTGATCGTGAGTGGCCTATCATTAAAATTATTTGGGTAATCATCAGCTGATGGTTCAATTAGAACAACTTTCAATTTTACTGAAAGCAAAGGGCACTTGACATAAGATTTATCACCTAGCCATCAGTGCCAGGCACTTTTTTCAATTTGGGGAAATTATTAAAAATTGCTCTTGCTCTGGGGCTGGGGTTTTAGCTCAGTGGCCCCGCACCTGCCTCACAAGTGAAAAGTCGTGAGCTCGAGCCCCATTACCCCCCCAAAAAATTGCTCTTGCTCTTTCATTCATTAGGGCCCTTCTTTTAATCTGACATAGTGAGAGAAATAAAAATACTAATTTATTACCCTATGTCAATAAGATTCTTAAATAAAATATTTTTATCATGTCATATTTCATATCTCTTGTCAAAACTCTGAAGCTCATTGAACGTATCAAGCAGTTCACTGTGCAAAAGGCCACAGAGCCAGCCTCATTATCAGACACAAATAAGAATTGTTTTGTCTCAGGAAAGGTCCAAATTCATTTTTCTTTTCGGATTAACATGTGCAGGTATATTTTGAGGGAAATTATTAAAACAGGAATAAGTTCAGTAGCTTCTTAGATTAGTTGATAAATGCAGTCAAGATAGAAACATCGTAGGAATAGGCATTCAGCTTCTCATGCTGATGCTGCAGTGAAGAATGAGAGAAAGGTCAGCAGTGTCCCTTAGGTGAATATGTGCCTGTGACCTGTTGAGGAGATGCTAATGAAAACTACTCAGATAAAGAGTCTTCCCAAAACATGTACACACTTCAGGAAACTAAAAACTTGCATAAATATCTTAATTCTAAATTGTTGAGATTTGAGACATCATGAGATCATTACAGGTTACCTTTGGCCTCTACAATTACAAGAGGTGCTTAGCATGGTGGCCATTAGTTTCCAGTCATTTATTAGTATGGCAAACACCTGCTTGTTTAACCTTGGTCCATTGAGATTGCTGCACGTGTATTTTTAATTTCTTCTTTAAGGGTTGGAAGTGTAGTGGGTTTCCTGTGATATACAACATCCTCTAGTGTCCTGAGTACAAAGGTAACATCATCTATTGAAAAAAAAGTAATACTATTTTTTTTTCCTGAAGCATGTATACATTTTTTTTATCAGACTCTGTATAAACATCAGAAATGTTCCTACCAGCTTCATTACATATGATCACAGTCTTTTATGTATACTGATAAAAAGCAGACTGCTTTGGAATGCAGTAGATGTCAGCTGTAAGAGATAAAGATGAGGGTTTCCTGATAATAAAATGGATGTTTTATGATTTGACTGAATAACCAGAGGTGAAAGCAATCATGTAAAACTTCTACTGTGGACTTTATAACTTATGTCAAAGTTTTACAGCCCTGTGTGTAAAGGGATTTGCAGGGTTCACATGCCTTGACTTAGTACTGAGGGGAATTTGAAGCTTATCTTTAAGTAATGCGGCAGAGGTTTTGAGAACAGCAGGGCATGGAGGACAGCCCTTCCCACTGCCACTTCCATTGTGCAGATAGGAAAGAGATGGGCTTTGCTTTGTGAGACCTAGAAGAAATAGAGAAGGACTAGTTCTCAGTTCCCACAAGGATCCCTGGAACTTGAATTCTGCTGATTGATTCCTTTAAACTAATGATTCTCTGTGTGTGACCACTAGCATCAGATTTTTCTGGGAACTTTTTAAAAACATAAATTCTTGGGCCACACCTCAAACTCCAAGGGCCTGCCAGCAATTCTGATGCAAACCTGTGCTTTGTGGTGATTTGTTTGTGACATGTTGATACAGTGTATGGATGGTTGAATAACTTGTTTTGTAAAAACACTAGATATTTCACTTTTGTACATTTTTGAGCTCATTTTATTAGCTTTCAATTATAAAGAGCACAGATCCCACACCAACTGGTGAAGACAAGTCCCTCTTGCCAGGTGAGCAACAACAGCATGTCCTGAGTCAGTGACCTATGAGAAGTGAGCCAGGATCCTCTTGAGAGGGACCTTGAGCACTTCGGCCTGGGCTAGGGTCTGGAGCAAAGAGGTTGGTCTTGGGCATTTTCCCATACACCTCCCAATTACAGTCCAAAGGTGGGAGTTCTATGAGCCCTGCTGCGAGGCTGCACATACCCGTCATTGAGACCTCAGAGGAATCATGGATGCCGGTGGGGTCAGCGTAGACTGCCAGGTTTATAGTCAATCTTCAACTTGCTTTTCCAGCAAGCTGAACCCAGGGGACTGAATGATTCGGTCCCAGGATATCAACCATTGCTGCTTCCTCCATTAGTGCCTTTTCATATCTTTAATGCTCCCCTTTCTGCCTGATAGATAATTCTTATTTTCTTAGCATCAATTATGAGAGCAGTCACATTGTTGACTGCTGTGCCTCAGGGGCCTCTTTGGGTAGCCACTTATTTATCCCATAAATAAGCTGCACCTTCTTCTGGCTTACACCCGTCTTTTGCATTGCAGTTTGGGGCTGAATTCCGAAGGTTCTCCTTGGACCGTCATAAGCCTGGGAAGTTTGAAGATTTCTACCAGTTGGTCGTGCACACCCACCACATTTCCAACACTGAAGTGACCATTGGCTATGCAGATGTGCATGGGGACCTGCTGCCTATCAACAATGATGACAACTTTTGCAAGGCAGTCTCCAGTGCAAATCCTCTGCTCAGAGTCTTCATCCAGAAGCGAGGTACCTAGCAGGCGAAACTGCTACTTGCTCAGTACTCATTTAAAACAAAAATATAGTTCTTAATTTGGTCCACCATGATAAGATTGGGAGATTCTGTTATCTGACCCATGGTAGGAGAGTAAAGAAATTAAATCTTTTGGTCAAATTGATAGAAAGGTTTAAAAATAGCTAAACTATATTTTCTACTTAAGTAGTATTGAGTTCTGCTTTTTAAATACTAAGGAAAAGTAATACTGATACTATCAGTATTTTAACTGGAAACCAGTGAATTCAGTAATGTAGAGGCATTTATCAGTAGCCAAAGAATTAAAACTTTAGATCACTATATGTATTTTCCTTGTCTTTTTAGGATGGGGGAATGTTAACTTTAAGTTATAATTTTAATTAATGTTTAGCTCTGAATGCCTATCTGTGCTCTAATTAATAAAAATATCATTTATATGAAAATCAATTACTAACATAGTTACTGATTGAAAGTGGACACTGGCTGCAGAGTCACTGTGGGACCCTACACTACCCATATCCTAGAAGTGTATTTTAGATTCTTTTTTCATCTCTAAACTTAAGAGAACCCTATCATTTCAAACTAATGTGCTAAAGGAAAGAATGAACTACAGATGAAGTTTGAAATTGGAAACATTTTTGTAATGCATTTGGCAATGATTATCCCTCCTTCCTGGGACAGATCTCTTGTGCACAGTGAACAGTGATTACCCCACAGATCAGAGCAGCCAGTGGGGGCCCTTGCAGAGTAACTCCATAACACACCATATCTGGTCTTATGCACATAATCCTAAGCATCTTTCTGGAAGGACGTAGAGAGGGCTTTGTGAAGAGGAACCTCAGCAGAAACCAGGAGAAGCAGCAGTAGAGTGCTGGGTGAAAAGGCAAAGGAACCACAATGTGGGAGCCAGCTGCAGGGTTCACATCTGCAGGGCAGGCAACTCTGTCCTGCACTGACTGTCCTCTTTTGCAAAATGGGGTTCTAGAGGTATTGCTTGTCAGGTCCTATGAGGTGATGTGCAGAGCAGCGTGCCAGTTTCCAGCCTGTGCTTTGTTAGCTCTTGTTGTTCCTTCCCACCTGTGGTGAAGGGAGACCGCAGGAAGTCTGCTGACCTCACTTCAGGCTCATTCTCTGACATGAGATCAGAGCTTTGTGCATCTGCAGCTCTTCTGAGCCATGTGTCCTGCTGACAGTACGGAGAGGCCAGTATAGCTGCCTCTTACTTACAGTGACTGGGAGATAAGTTGGGACCAGGACTTTGCACTGTCCCTGCGTGGTTCTTTCTAGTCTCCAGCATCCATCTCCTGTGTCTACTGCCCTCTGGTGGTCACCCACTGCCTGGATGGCCCTGGGACAGACACAACCGCTGCTGCCCTTACCTGGAGCACTCTGTCCCTCACACCAGTCAAGAGTCTGTTGATGTTTTGTCCTCTTAGTCTTTTCTCTCTGTGTGCTTGCTGTCTGTTTCCACCAGACCTCGAGGCCCAGAGGCCTTATTCTTGGTCACGCATATGCTCCTGAGGGATCAGGATGAAGGTGTGAATGCGCCAGCAAATGGTACATGTGCACACAGGCCTTATGCATTGTACAGGAAGGCAGTCTTCGCAGAGTCGGGGTTTGAAGTCCCAGCAGAGGTTGGCCTGGATGAAGTGTGGCCCCTCTGCCAGGGAGTTGCAGATACTTCAGGTTTGAGGGCTGCAGGGCTATGATACACTAACTCTCATACAGTTTAGAGGCATTGCCTCTTTCCTCATTTCTCTTGCTGCTTAGGCCCTATACCCTATCTTTATTCTTTCTTCTACCCTCATAGTAACAGTACAGAATATATCCAAGTGGCTTAGGATCCTGGTGTCTCCGGTGAGCACATCACTGATAGCCTCTGCCTATTCCATCAGCATTTTCTCAGGTCCCTCTCCCTCACTCCATGCTTCAACCCACTGAGCTGAGCATCCTGTCTGTGAAAAGGAAGGATAGCATCTATCTTCCAGGTTGTCATCAACTTCCAGGCCAACAAGCCCTATCTGGTCTCACTTTCACTGTCCCAGTCCCACATACCATCATGGGGGACCTCAGAGCCTTCTTGCCATCCTTGCTGAATTCTCAAAGTGGCAGCAACATGCAAGAGAATTGAGGTCACTTATGCGCTCATAGACAGCCAAGCCCCCTCAGGTTCAGGACAGATGTGTTGATCTGTCATTGTGAAGATCCAGCGTCTGTGGCAGCCGAGTCCTGAAGCCCCCCAGTTCAACACAGTCCATAGCCTTTCCACTGCTTCTGTTTTGAGAGGTTGTTTATTGCCAAGATGTCATTACAATCCCACAGCAGCCACACCCCGGTTCTATACAGTGACGTCTTATTACTGAAATATGTCTTAACAGGACACTGTATTACTATCACAAATGAAAGTTCAACATTCTTCTCATACATGCTGAGATAAACCCACAGCTATGTTGTAAAAAATGAATCATCCACTTAAAATAATCTCTTCTCTCAAACAACACTAGGACATGACAGTTAAATTACAGACTAGCATCACCAATGAATGTAGATGTAAAACCCCCTAACAGAATACCAGCATGTGGATGACATTATTCACAATAACCAAAAGGTGGAAATAGCAGGTGTCCCTCAGCCAACAGATGGATAAACAAAGTGTGTGTGTTCACCCAAAGGACACTTGCCAAGTCATAAAAGGAAATAAAGTACTGCACATGCAGCAGTGTAGATGGACTCAAAAACAATATGCTGACTGAACTAGGAAGACACAAAAGGTCACTTACCATGTGTAGGCTTTTATAGTTGATCTTCTTTATGTTGGCTAGGTTGGTTTTTGTTGTTTGCTTGTTTGTTTTTGGTACCAGGGATCGAACTTGGGTCCTTGGGCTTGTGGGGCAGGTGGCAGAACCACTGAGCTAACTCCCCAGCAGTTGATCCTCATTATTTGGAGATTCTGTATTTGCATATTCAACTATTTGCCAAAATTTACTTGTAATCTCAAATCAATACTCAGTGTGATTTTGTGGTCATTTGAGGACATGCACAGAGTGGTTAAAAATGCGAATCACCCATTGTACATATACCCACTTGCTATCAAATACAGCAACACTGGGCATGGTTGCACACACCTCTGATCCCGGCACTCTGGAAGGCTGGCAGAAGGATCACAAAGTTGAGCCTCTAATACCCTAGGCAACTTAGTGACTCAGTGAGACCCTGAATCAAAAACTGGAAAGGGATAGAGATATAGCTCAGTGCAAAGGCGCTGCCTGGGTTTAATCCCCAATACCACACAGAAAAACAAAACAAAACAAAGCAATGAGGCTCTGTTATTTTAGCGCCCATGCCCCATGGTAAGCCAGCATCCTCCTCACAGTCTATTCAGTGTCACTGTTTACACATGCTACTTGCTTCTTATTGGTGATTTTGCTGTTTGAAGTGGTCCCAAGCATAGGGCTGAAGTGTTACCTAGTGCCCTCATCACAGGAGGCTGTGGTGTGCCTCAGGCAGAAGATGTATATGTTACAGGAGCTGTATTCAGGCTCATTTGCCATGAGTTCCATGTTCATGACTCAACAGTACATGTTAAATAAGGAGTCATGTGAGACAGGACACTGAAAATGAGGTGATACATTAACCAGTTGATGAAAGTGGTATAACGAGAGGCCTACAGCAGCCTGACCTTGTTCCCCAAGAGCCATGACTCTGTGTTCTGTGGTGATTTTATGAAGTAAAGAAGGCCGAACGATGGAGGCAGCTCTGTGTGTGAAAAGTCTAATATGAGCAATTCTATAAGGACAAAAAGTAGATTTCATGATTGTCAGGGGTGGGAAAGGGGAGAGCTGGGAGGGTTGGGATTTCTTTTGGCATAGTAGAGATGCATAACTGTGAAAGCATGCATTTTAATGGGTGAACTTGATATCAACTGTATCTTGGGCAAACTGTCCAAGAGAATACAGTGCCAGGGCTGATGGCTGGCAGCAGGCTCAGAGCACTTTCCAGGTCTCACCATGGCCCTCTGTGTATGGTTCAGGCTTGCCTCTGCCTGTATTTCCAGAATCAGCTATCCTCAACAAGTATAAACTTTAATGAACATATTTGTTCAAAGTTTATTAAAGCATCTCTTTCCCTGGGAGCAAAAAACTTCCTTCACTTCTGTGCCAGGACGTGAGCTATACCCAGTCTTTAGTAGGCTGAAGCCTGCACCCCCACACAGGGTTCACTGTACCTGTCCCTTTGCCACTAGTAGAAATCACAGATATTTTCATTTTATGTGGGACTTGGGCCCAGACAATTTAGCATTTACAGTACTTGTTACTTTAAAATAATGGTATGTGTTGTTATTGAATGTGTTAATAAAAAAATAGTATTGTACCGTATCTTTCTTTTAGTGCTCTGAAAATTGTGTGCAAAATAATTTATTTTCTGATACCCTATATTTTACTTATGCCTTAAAATCATTATTCTAAGAAGGTGTTCCTAGGCATCATCAGATTACAACCAGGTTTGTCAAACAAAGCTCACAAACAAGCTAAGAACTCCACCTGCAGAAAAGCTGCATTTGAAGCCCAGACAACAGGACAGGATGATCTGGCTTTCATCCTCCTGGGACCCAGTCAAGGAACATTTTCTTGAGGACTGTTTAGCCTTTCTGCCCATGAGAGTTCAGGGACCATGTCTTCTGGCTTCTGCCCTGAGAGTTCAGGGGCCATGTCTTCTGGCTTCCTTTCTCTGCAGTTACCAGGCTTCTGCCATCATCTTTCCAGGATGACTTGTAAAAGCTCTGGGCTTTGCCCTTAGTAAATCAGAGTTACTATTCTGCGCTTCGATTGGGTGCTTTGACCACTTAAGAGAGGTAGCTCCAGCATGTAGTGGTCATAACAGGAGTCTAGGCTTGTGTCAGCACACTTGGGTTGCACACCTAGTGAGTGTTACAGACCCACTTTTGTAACATTTGGGAAGCTGACCCTAGCCAGAGGACACAAGACCATGAACAGCA